TGAGGACTGTCAGTGGAAGGCTCAGCTGTGCTTCATGTTTTCTTTCCTTCTCCAGCTGGTTACAAGTTTGCTTACCTGACACTGGTTATAGGCACCCCAGGAGAGAGAGAGTGAGAGGGAGGAGGAGGAGTGAGGACCTTTCTAAGCTTGAGCTCAAAACCAGGACATCACTTCAGCCACATTCTACTGCCCACAGTAGCTCACAACCAGCCCAAATTCAAGGGGAGGAGAACTGTGGTCGTTGTCACCACCAACCTCAGCCAATGTCCTCTCTTCTCACGCCTGCACATCAAAGATCCAGTGTTTACTACCAGGCTAACCCTGAAGGCCCAAGTGAGTCATTGGAATTTGTTTTTCAGCCTGTCCAACCTGCTGTGGATACCTTTCCTCTCTCGAGCCCTCGTTGGTATTCTGTGCCGCTCCCTTCTACATCAGAAGAGGTTCTGTGGAAAGCATTCATTCTGAGAGGAAAATGACTAGGTGGCACGTGCCACTTCTCTGAAGACAACCACATTCTAATAGATGCATGTGTCTGAAGCTAAATGATGAAGTGCTGTGGCAGCATTCCGGCAGTTCCAAGGAGTTGGAGAAACTTCTGAAAGCCTGTGAAAATTGCTTCTCTACATGGGGCAAGGGAAGTCTTTTGTTTGTTTGCTTTTTAGTTACTTTAGACAAATCAAGTATACATCCCCACTTCCAGTGGCCACTCGATAAACACTTATTGAGTGTTCCACCATCTATTTAGACTGAAATTTGAAGTTCTTTTCTGTGTAAGTGATCACAGAAGACTTTTAGAATGAACTAGAAACGAGAGAGCTGAGCCTCAGGCCCTTCTAAGCTACCACCTGATGGTTTGACCTCTCTTGAGCTATTCTTAGCTTATCTGAATCTCAGTTGTTTTCTCATTTGCAAAATGAGAGATTTGGTAAGACAATTTCTAGGACTGCTTTCAGTTCTGATTTCCTAAGAAGTCTAATAAATCTTCCGAAGACAAGAGCAATGGTCCATTCTCCTCCCTCACTAGCCAATCAGACCCTCACTGTGTTCGTTCAACATGTGTAAGCCAATGTGCAGGTACAAGTCTGTGGGCACAACCATGTGCATTTGTAAGTGTACCTGTGTACTTGTGCAGACCCATGTGCCTATACAAGCCTGTGTTCATGTGCAAGTACAGATCTGTGTGCATGTACATGTATAACCCTGTGGATGTGAGTGTGCCTATGTGCTTGTGCAAGTCAATGAGCCTATACAAGTCTACATATGTGTATAAGTGCAGGTCTGTGTGCTTGTGCATGTACAACCTGTGCATATACGCATGCCTGTGCAGTTGTACAGACCCATGTGCGTGTGCAAGCATAAGTACAAACCTGCATGCATCTGACTGTTCCAGACCCTTTGTTCACAAGGCCTGTGCATGTGTGTGGAGCCCTCTGTGCAAACACAAGTCTATATACACATGTGTATGAGCCTGTATGTGAAAATGTGCATGCATGTGTGAGCCCTGTACATGTGTTTGCAAGCCCTGTGTATAACTATGCAAGCCTACATTCAGACAAGACTGTATGTATGTGTGTTTATGTGTGTGTAAGCTCAGTCATATGTGTGAAATTTTATGTGTATGTGTGGAAACCCCTTTGCACATGCAAGCCCGTGTACATGTGTATGCAATCCCATGTATATGTGAACTGTGTTCAGGGGCAAACCCATGTGTGTATACAAGCTCATGCATGTTTGATCCCTGTGCATATTTATACAAGTTCATGTGTATCTGAGCCCTATGCATGTTTGTGCAAGCCTTTGTGTGCATGCATGTGCAGCCCTGTACCTGGCTGTCACTTTATCTGGTCCTTTGTACTATGAGCATTTCTACAATGATCAGCCCAAATGGGTCATAAGCTGTCCTAGATTTTCTAGATTCCTATAAGCAACTCTGTGGAAATAGTAAGACTGTTAAGTTTAGGAGGAATTGTTGATAGATTTCTATTCACCAAATATTTTCTTCTCTGAGAATAGCTCAGTAATGAGGCTTTAAAAGGTTGGAGTTCTTCGTTCTCTGACTCTCAGTTCATTCCTCCAAGCAACAACCATGCCCAGTGTGTATTTCTCTGTGTATACATTGAAATGCAGACGATTGTATACATTTTCTCTACCCACACAGTGCATCTATCTGCCCTGCATATACACAGTCATCTTTTGCCTTTAAACATTAGTCTGTATATACAATGTGGGTGGTGTATTTGGACCTGGCTGGGACAGGCCATGCACCTATATATTTCACGGTCCTGTCTTAACAATCTGCCATAACAGAAAATGAGAAAAAAATAAACAGGGACAGGGCTCTCTTTTGCAAATTCAACATCAAAAGTCATTGAGTGACTTTTCTGGGCAATAACAGGAGGCAGAGCTCAGGAGCAGCAGCTCTGAATTCTGAGTGCTGGGGGAAGCAGTTCGATGCTGTGTCTTCTCCTGGGCTCTGTCAAGCCCCATTACTTGGGTGGACATGGTTTGGCTCAAACAGCATTCACTATTCATTTGTTTTACAAACACACTACACCTTTCTTGGAAGGTTAATCCCCAGAGATAAAATGTTTGGAGGTTGATTTGGGGCTTAGCAAGTTTCTACCTTTAAAACCAGGTCTCCAAAGAAAAACCAGAAACTGAGTTCAAAGGTGGATTACCTATCAGAGCAAACTTAAGCTTTAGCTAAGCTCCTGCTCAACACTAACTAAAAGTGAATAATATATTTTTTTAAGCAGAGAAGTTATCCCTTTTCACAAATAAGGCTGTTTCTCCAGTTACCTTGAGGCTCCAAAATTCAATATCTCTAATCTACAGGAGTACACTGACTGAGCCCACAGAGATATCATGTGGCATGGAATTCCAGTGGGTTCTCCTGAGACCCAGAGCATTCTTCCATCGCAAGGTCATTGCTCTGAGTATTATTAGCACAGCAGTAAGGAACAGATACACAGTAAAGTTCAGGGTGAGATCAAAAAGTGAAGCAAAGATTATCTTCAACTTTCCGGTCTGTTCAGCACTGAGTGGGAGTACAGAAAGAAGAAGGAAGAGGATGAGGAGGAGAGGAGGGGGGGGAGAGGAGGAGGAGGAGGAGGAGGGGAGGAGGAGGGAGGAGGAGGAGGGAGAGGAGGAGGAGGGAGAGGAGGGGGAAAGGGGGCCATGAGATGGCTCAGTGGGTACAGGCACCTACTGCTAAGCCTGACAACCTGAGTTTCATCCCTAGGGACCCACATAGTAGAAGAGAGACACAACTCTCGCAAATTGTCTTTCTTACTTCCACATACATGGGCCTTGATCCAGGCACAAACATGCATGCATACACACACTCATACACATGCCCACAACATAAATACAAATGCAATAAAAAGTTTTAAGAGAAAGAAGGGAACGGAAGGAGGGAGGGAAAGGGAGGTAGGAAAGAGACTTCCCAGTGGAAGGAAGGAAGGAAGGAAGGAAGGAAGGAAGGAAGGAAGGAAGGAAGGAAAGGGGAGGAAGGAAGGGGGAGGAAGAGGAAGGAAGAAAAAAGGAGGGTGTGGAAGAGTTGAAAAGAGGAAGAAGGAAGCGGGGAGAGGATGTCATGTCCTGGCTCTAGAAGGTGAAGCACGAGTCCTGTGACCACTCAGATGTAATACAAAGCAGTATTCACTCAAACGCTTACAGGGGTAGCTGGAAACAGATAACTTAAAAACTTTAGGAATTTCAAGAAGAACTTCAGTGTAGCGAGGGACAGTGTGAGGCAGAGTTCTAAGACAGTCCCAGGGTTCTGCCCCTTGGTGTGCTGTGCTTGCCCTCTGAAGTACAGGATCCCACCCCTTGAGTATGGGTGGGTCCAGAAGTTCTTATAAGTTAGAGAGAGAAGGGACAAATTCCAAGATGCCAAGTAGGATCTCCTCCTGCCCTGAGAAAACAACGTGTGCTTTTTTTTCAGAAAGGACACCACCACAGGATGGGTAGGTGGTCATTCCTAGAGGAGGGAGGCTCCTGACTGCTGGCCAACAAGAACTCTTTCCTCCAACTGCCAAAAGCTGGCCCATGCTGACAAATCCATGTACCTGAGAACTCTTGAGTATTAAAAGAAACACAACTTGATCTTGCTTTGACTCCAGTTATGAGACCTTGCACCAAGAAAACACCTCAACCATGCATAGACTCATGACTCCTTACCTGTGAAGACTGGGAGATGATGGAATGAGTCAAGTCACCAAGTTTGTGGTAAATTGTCACAGAGCAAAAGAAAAGAGTGCTGAACATTTCTCAGAACAGAAATACTTTGAGTTAGGCCCAGAAGAAGAGGTTGAAAACTGGAAAAAATTTATAAGAGGTTGCAAATGGCTGTGCTGTGGAGAAAGAAAGAAGTGTGTGCATAAGGGGAAGTCTTCACATCATTAGATGCGGTACAGGGTGTTTGAGACGTCATAGGCAGAGGGACCATATGTCTCATTGTGATGTATCTAACATGCTTACCTCATGAACAGGTCATGGGCTATGAAGCCCATTGCATATGAGAAAAATTGAGGTCCAAGGGTATTCACCAGACATGCACTGGCATGTGATTAACCAGGATAGGGTCAACTTTCTAAAGTGAACATCCGATGGAAATATATGAAATACCATTTCCCTGTAACAAAGGAAATGAAATCCAGATTTTTCAACCAGTACCTGATGCCCGATACCCAGCATTATATCCCTTCATTCAACCTGCTACACTCTATCCAAGACCTCCAGAGAGAGAGAGAGAGAGAGAGAGAGAGAGAGAGGACATGAATGCCTTGCATTGGCCATATGAACTCCCTAGACTGTTTTGTTAGTCTCTGCTGCTCACATCCAGCTTCCCATCCCAGCCCTTCACTATGGACCTTACATTCTTCCTTTAATTATTTGGAACAAAGAAATTTTTTGCCCTAACCCCCAGGTACAAACTTTCTTGAGTGATGCTGTAGTCTAACAAACATACCTTTATTAGCACTAAATATTTTATTGACAGCAATAATAAGACAGAAAATTAATACTCAAATTTACTGGGTGAATACCTAAAGACTCTGCCTTTTATGCACATTATCCTGTTATACCTTCATCACACTTTTTACATGCTTACCCATTAATTGCTGACTTTCTCAAAGGCAAGGGTGAGATAGCTTTTCCATCTTTGTATCCCTCGGGGCCTTGCACAGGGTACAAACACTCAAAACATATTTAGCTCACGAGGTGAAACAGTTTAATACAAAAGCAGAGCTTGAATTCACGTTGGATCACAGAGCACGATTCTTTTGCTACCACACCATCATGATCAGGTAAATGCCTGTTGCCGGGCATGGTGGCGCACACCTTTAATCCCAGCACTCAGGAGGCAGAGGCAGAAGGATCTCTGTGAGTTCAAGGCCAGCCCGGTCTACATGGTTCCAGGCCAGTTGGGGCTACAAGGAGACCCTGTCTCCAAAAACATATGAATGCCTGCCAAAGACCTTGTAAAGCTACAAAACCCTGTGAACAGGAAGGAGCAGATACCAACACAGGTCCCTTTCTATGCCTTTCTCCTATCTTCCTCCTGCCTCCTGCTGCCAAAACAACTTAGATTATGTGAAAGCTTATCAGCAGTGTGCATCTACTGCATCTATTCCAGAAACTAGAAAATAATGGAAGAAGGTGACTTTTGAGTGGTAGAAGCAGCATTCAGGCTTGTGAAAGGACAGCTGGGAATTCAAAGAATAGGGCATGGAGATCTGGGCTCCGTATGGGATCTCCAATCCCTGAGCATAAGAGCAACCCAGGAAGCTTCCAGTGAGGCACTGGAACCCTTACCTAGCCCTTGGAATTGCATACTGAACTCTTTTAAGTATTGCTTTCATAAACAGATACTAGGAGCTGTAATAACTTTCAGTCACATGGGTGAGCAGAGCTCTCCTAGCTCAAGTCTGGCATCCAGAGACAGGCAGTACAGCCCTCTTGATGGTCCTCTCCCCATCTTCATCTCTTACCCTGGTATCTAACAAAAGATGAAGAGTAAATTAGCACTAAACACTGTTCAATGCTCCTAACCCAAAGATTCACCCAGGAAAATCAGACGAAGAAGTGCTTCCTCTCAATTCAATATGACAGACTCTACCAAACCTCATAGCTCTTCTCTTCCTTTGTTCTCCCACCAGCAGGGTGTGCAGCCCCCCTTGTTTCTCCTTTGCCTGTGATTTCCACCCAGCCCTCTCCTCTCTAACCTAGCCTTCAAAGCACAGGTAGGTAGATCTCTGTGTGCTGCACACTATAAGAGAAAAAGTATCAGGATCCAACCTGCAGAGTCAGCACAGGGCTGCAAAGGAGCAAAGTATGCCAATTAAAAGTATAATCCTTGGGAACGGTTAGCAAAACACTATTTACTTTCCACAGAGGAAAAAAAAAATCATACAACATTTTGACCCAAGAAGCGGAGGAAAGTGGCCTATTTTGTGTTGTGTACAATGTTAATTCTCACTTTCATATCATTCAATTCAAAGTTTGTTTCCAACAGAACCAGGGTCCAGAAGAAACCCAGCGATGAGAAGGAAGCAGTTGCCCTCTAGGAACTGATGGTCCAGCAGCCGACTGTGACCAAGAAACAAACAGCAGGTCTGGGGCTGTAGCTCAGTGGTGGGGTGTTCTCCTCAGCATGCACAAGGCTTGCGTTCAACCCCCAGGACTGCAAATAAATAAACAAGAAATAAACAAGTAACGTACAGCAGAGTTGGGATAGTGCTTCAAGAAAGAAGCAGGCAAAGAGATGTGTGGAACTTTAGAAGTAGGCTTGGGAAGGATCTCTGTATCTCTGCTTCCCTTTTCTGGTACATCGGACAACCAAAAGCTGTTGACATAGATTTCTGAAAAAGAAGAAATAAAAATATGTGTTCTTTTCTATTATAAAACTGTGCATTCCTAAGAAATATGATATTATCAAAACTGGCATTACAAAAGCAATTATTCTAGTGGATAATAAAAAGTTGGTGCGAGAGAGTTTCAGGTGTACGATAACAACGCTATTTTTCCTACAGGAATTTCAGCGATGAAATTGTTTCCACTAGGCCTAAGTATATTTTGTTATTTTAGGTAATACATTGGTTCATCTAAACTGACAAATCTAAACATCCTGAGAAAATCTGAGCAGCTCCTAAAATAAATCTAAAATCAGTTAGAGACCATCAAAATCAAACCTAGCTCTGTTTACAGTGGGGAGCAGATTGTATTACTCTCTGCTCACTATTCTAACTCCCTCCCTGAGACAAGCTCACAGACCTGCAAATGCTGAACTCATGAGGGACCTGAACTGCCTAGTGTGATGGTGTGCGCTTGTAATCCCAGCACTTGGGAGGCTAAGGAAGGAGGATCAGGAGTTTGAAGCCAGTCTGGACTGAAAAGCAAGTTCAAAGGCCAGCCTAAACTACACAGTAAGACCTTATCCCAAAGAAACAAGCAAAAAACTAGAGTGCCCACGTGACTAGTTTTGGCCAATGATGTCTGGACTTAAGTGAGAGGCGTCATCATATGCTCCACTATACCTTTCCCCTTGAGCACCGATGCCACGTGTAGTCCAGCCAAGGGTTCCCCTTCTGCCTGAGCCCTGGAGTAAAGATAACTACAGAACTCAAGGTGTGGATAGACTGTGTTGTGCAGAATGTGTCCCCATGAAGTTCATATATTGAAATCCTAACCCCAAGGTGATAGTATTCAGACACCGGGCCTTTGGGAGAGGACTAGGTCATGATGGTTGAGCCTTCATGAGTGGTATTAGTGACCTTCTAAAAGGACCCCAGATAGCTTCCTTGGATCTTCCTCCATGTAAGGACAGAGATACTTTCTATGAACTAGAAAGTGGGCTCTCACCCAACACTAAATCTATGGACCCTCAGTCTTAAGCTTTCTACCCCCTAGAACTGTAGGAAATAAATGTCTGTTGTTTACTGGCTTCTGGGTTCATGGCATCTTACTATAACAGCCAGACAGACGAAGGCACATGATAAAAGCTTTGTTGTTGCAAGCCAGCAATACTCAGAAACCATTGGTTAGTATGACAGGACCCATTTTTTCTCTTCTTATTGATCACAGATATAAAAGTAAAGAATCGTAAACTGTGCGGGCAGCAATTCCTGTAAACAACCTCCTGAAAGCCTAGTGGTGTTTCCCTGCTGTGATCTTGAAGGTCTGATGGGGTCTACACTACTGCCACTTGAAGACCTTGTACCAGGCCTTTTTCAAACATTGCCTCACTTGATCCACAATGGAAATAAATCAGTGTAAATGGTAAGAAAAGCTGAAAGCCAACAGGAGCTTCCAGACATAACTTATTAAGTATGTAAAGAAGGGGTTTTACTGCATTTCATTCCTAGATCCAGCCTTCCTGTCATTCTTCCTCAGTACGAATTAAGGAACAAGTCAGTTAGCCATTTAAGCAACCTCAAATTACCTCAAATTACAGCTCTAAAGACATAAAAACTGGGTCCCGTTCACACGATCTGAGTTCAGTTACTTAACCTCTCCAAGCTTAAATTTCTGTGGATTAGAGATAAGACACCTTCAGCATGTTAGAGGGTGTCTATATGTGTGGTACCACCCATTGCCTGGCACACATCAGCACTAATTTAATGATCACATTCAGCACAATTAGAGTAAGTTCTGATACAAACGCAGTGCACCAGGACAGAGTAAAATCGTATTCCTTTGAGCATCCTAGAGAAAGAGATCCCTTCCGTGGTCCCCAGGAAACTAGGCACCCTCAGACTGGTACCAGAGAACCAAAGTGCACAGAGATGCAGCTGGGCTTAGGACAGGTTGGAAGTCAAGGACATGGGGTACAGAGGGCTACAGAACCAGACCTACAGGGCAACAGCAACCCAGCTAGCTCTCTGTCAGGCAGGGACCAAGACAGCAGCCAGCAGACCTGGAACAGATAGATTCATCACATATAGAACAGGTTGGGCCCCAATGGCCAGAGCAAAGGGATTCAGAGGAATGGGACTTGGCTCAGGATGAAGGCAGAGGGAGCGAGAGGCAAACAACAGGAGCCTGTGACACCATGGCCTCCAACTGCCAATGAGCTGATAGGAGCAGCTGATGGGACTGACAGGAGGTGAGGATGACAAAAAGCACTTAAGCAAGAGCTTCATGTCTCTGTTGTTGTTGCTGAAAGCCTCCTGCCACGGAACAAAGCAACCAGTCAGTCACCCTGTCACCAGCCCCGCCTCTGCCCACCTCCCTTTTCCCACCTTTGCAGGCCCTACATTCATCCCTTTGTCTCTCTAGCCTAGACCCTGGCAGTCCAGACCCAGCAAACAGAAACACACCAGCTGGAGCCCAGCCTTTAACGGCTGTCTCTCAAACCACCAGCTCTAAAGGCTGGCTGGGCTAATAGGGGTCCTGGCCACAGGAGCTAGAGCTACAAAGAGGGGCTTGCTGCACAGGGACCTTCCTGTCTCCACAACTTGCCATGAATTTTACATTCAAAAGTTAGCTATATGTTTATCATTTCAGTGCCTGGTGATGCCCTTTTCCCAGAATTCAGGGTAGACCTATAGCTTTTTGAAGATGGAGGGTGACTTTGCATTACAAATTAAAAACAGTTCTGTTTGGCCATTTCTCTCCCCCAAAAGGAAAAAACGCTTGGAGTTGGAGGCTCCTGGGTTCTTGCTCTGGCTTCCACTCATTCTTCGGAACTCACTCAAGCATGTCTGCTCTTGAGCTCCTTTCATCACCCTCCAGGGTCCCCTCCTGGAGCATTCCAGGTAGCAGGTATCACCATCTGATGTCATATGTTAGCAGATGCCACTTATTACCTGCTTGTCTGCCTGCCTTCGTCCCAGACTGTCACCTCCCTCACAGCCAGCCAAGATAATACTCTCTTTCCTACCCTCAGCATCCAGCACAAGCTGCTAAACAGTCCCTTGATCGTATCTGTGAGACATCCAACTTTCAAATCTATAAAGTTGGGATGAAGTGTATACTTATTTTTGTCTGTTGGTACCAGGTTGGTACTTGGGGGGTCACATGTCAGAGGAAAACTGAAGGGCGTCTGGAGCTGTCCAGTGTGAGTTACAGATAAATGGAAATGCTGAGCACCTTGCTGCTTCACCCAGCATTTCGAAGCACGTTTTGTATGACTGGCATCTTGCCAGTACAGACGAGACCCTTCCTGGAAAGGGACAGGTCCCCACTTGACTTGCTGCCTCTCTCAGCCCTGTACTTAGCTCTGGCTGTGGTCCAAACCAGTAAGCTCCAGCTCCAGGGATTGCCCCTCACCTTGCTGGTAGTAATGACAAATCCCCACACTCTCCATGGAAAGATCACCAATCACACTGAATGCCAGCCTTGCGGAGAGCAGAGAACCTGGTCTGAGGAATGGGAGGCATAAAACATTCAACGTGTAAGGCACAGTCTCCCTCACAAGAAGCATACCTGACAGAGTATGAGTAAGCAGAAAGGAGGGTGGAAGGCATTCACAAAAAAGGAAGTTGTGGTTCAGAGGTGGGAGGAGCTTCGTTCCACTGGGCTTCAGAGGAGTCTTCAGGACAAAATGGCAGACACAGCACTGGGAGAGGCTTTTCTCAGAAATCAAAGCACTGGGGGACTCTGGGGGGATCGGTCCCTCCACTTCTCCATCATATACACCAAGTGGTCGAGGTGGAGATTCAGTCACCGATCTGAGAATACGAAGCTCGGCACTGGCAGTGCTGGGGCATAAACAGATATGACTTGATCACCCCTCTAAAATTTCCCTTCAAATTCAACTGTCATTGTAACAGAGTTGAGAGGTGGAACCTTTAAGAAATGGTTAGGGCAGGAGGACACAGTCTTCATCAATACTAAGAGGGGAGAGTCCAGCCCCTCCTCCTCTCTTTCCAACATGTCCCCTTGCCACGTGATGTCTCCTGCCTTGTTATGGCCCTGCAAGGAGCCCTCAGAACATACAGCCCCTGGATCTTTGACTCCCCTCCAGCCCCAGAACTACTACCAAAATAACTCTTTGTTTGTAATTTGGTCAACCTGCATAATTCTGTTAAAGCAGCAGCAAGCATGCATACTAAGACACCAACTGCAGCCCACAGTTTGGCCAAAAAATGACCTGACAAGAGTCTGCTGTAGTTAGAAGAATGAGGAGAAGAAAAAGAAGAACCAGAAAAATGAGAGAGAGAACAAATTATATTGAAAGCAGAACCTTTTATACACAGAGGAGAGAAGACCATGTTTTGAAATTATACTGCAAAATCCTAAAAGCAAAATAATGAAAACCCATAACAAGATGGTAGCTGTAGAAATGGGAAGGTGTAGATAATTCTAGAAAGGTAGGTTTCAAGGCTAATAAAGTGGTAGCTGAAGGGGGAATAGGATTTCAAGGCTTCAAACTCAAACAACTTAGAAATCTGTATTTTTTAGAACATACTACCACCTTCCCCAATGGGGAAGCAGTTCTCCAAGAGTAGCAAAACCCCCAAATACAATTCTGCTTCATGCCTGAGAGTTGCACATGGCAAATGGGGGGTGATTTTTCTCACTGCGGTACTCTTCTGTATCATGGCAGCAATATTATTAAGTTTGTAAATAATTTATCTCAGATAAATCAGTGGGGTTTGGAGTAGTACAACTTACCACACTTCTCCTAAGGGTACCCAGTGCTGAGCAGCACCATCCCAGCTGCTCACGGGGGCTCTGAGATGTGCAATACCCCCTAAATTCTGTCTCCAATCAGAAGCCCCCAGCTTGGTGAGGTTTAATCATGTTCAAATCTAGGATGTGCCCAAACATGACAGAGGCATTGTTTTCTTTCCCTCAGTCCTCCGTATGTTAAAAGCATCTATTAAAATGTGTCTGAGATGGAAGGCGCCCAACACGC